TTTAGGTTAATTAAATAATTCCCAGCCTCTGTGTGGTGATTTGGGTATACAGCTGGTTTAGGAATAACTGCTGGCAACTAAAAATAAATCAACAACAGGGTTATGGATAGGTTTCCTGTTAGGGTTAGGGTTAGTTTTAGATTTAGGGTTAGTGTTAGGTCTAGGTTTGTGGTTTTGGTAGGGGTTAGGGTTAGGGTAAATTTTAAGGGTTAGGGTTATTGTTATGGTTAGGGTTAAGGATAGTGTTAGGATTCTGGTTAGGGTTATGTTTAGGGTTACAGATAGGATTAGGTTTAGTAATATGGTTAAGGTTAGGGTTAGCCTTAGGGTTAGGGATAGTGTTAGTGTTCCAGTTAGGGTTATGGGTCGTGTTAGTGATAGTGTTAAGTGTCGGGTTAATGTTAGTATTAGGTTTAGGGTTAGGCTTAGAGTTAGGGATAAGATTAGGTTTAGGGTTAGGGTCAGGTTCCCTGTCACTGATATGTTTAGGGTTAGGATTACGGTTAGGGTTAGGGTTAGGGACAGGGTTATGGGTAGGGTTAGGGTTAGGGATAGGATTAAGTTCAGGTTTAGGGTTAGGGTTGGGGTTAGGTTTCAGGTTAGGGTTAGGGTTAGGGTGAAGGTTAGGGCTCTGTTTAGGGTTAGGGTTAGTGGGGGTTTTTTTATGGTCAGGGTCATGGTTTCCTTTAGGGTTAAGGTTAAGTTTAGTGTTAGGGTTATGTTGTAAGTGACAATATTTACTAATGATTATCTTTTAGTAAAGCTGTTGTTAGTCCTAAACAGCTGTATAAACCAAATCACCACATGGAGACTGGGTTTATTTAGTTAACCTAGAACACAATGCTGGGCAATAGTTACTTCCCCCTAAACCTCCAAGCCCTCATAGTTTCCTAACATTTAGATTTTACCCATTATACTTGCTTTTTGTGATATCTTATTTCAGTCCATCTCCACATAGTTCCAAGATCTCTCCTCCAGCTCTGCTTCAAGCTCTCCTCTGGCCCCTTCTCCTCCTGCCCTCTGGCTCCTCCCCTCTTTCCTGTCCTCTGGCTCCTCCCTTTGCACAACATTGTGGCTAGTTGTTTTATTTTGGCCTGTTTACACACAGTTGAGACAGGATGCTTAGAGTAAGTATCACAATGCAATATCTGGATTGAAACCAGAGATGAGAGAGGGGGAGAAATCAGCATTTGGATGCACAAGGGTAAGGTGTGTACATTTCAAAAGAACATTATACCAACAGGGTTACAATTACGGTTAGGGTTAGTGTTAGGGATGGGTTTAAGATTAGGGTTAGTGTTAGGGTTAAGGTTAGTGATACTGATAGTATTAGGGTTCCATTTAAGGTTAGGGTTCTGGTTACGATTAGGGTCAGGATTAAAATTAAGGATAGCTAGAGGGTTAAGGTTGATGTTAGGGTTAGGGTTTGTATTGGTTTTGGATCAGGATTAGGTTTAGGGTTAGTGTTATGATTGGGATTGTGCTAGGGTTAGGGTTAGGTTTAGTGTTAGGGACAGGGTTAGGGTTAGGGGAGGGTTAGGATTAAGATTAGAGATAGGGTTTGAGTTAGGGATAGGGTTAGGCTTTAGCGTTAGAGATAGTGTTAGAGTTATGGTTATAATTAGGGTTAAGTTTGGGATTAGAGGGTTAAGGTTAGAGTTAGGGTTAGTGTTCAGGGTTAGGGATAGGGTTAGGTTTAGAGTTAGGGTTAGAGATAGGGTTAGGGTTAGAGTTAGGGTTTAGTTTAGCTTTAGGGTTAGGATTAAGGAAAGGTATAGGGTTACAATTAGGTTTAGGGATAGTGTTAGGTTTAGAGTTAGTGTTACTGTTAGGGTTAGGTTTAATGTTAGGGTCAGGTTTAGGGCTAGTATTAGGGTTCAGGTTAGTGTTAGGATTAAGGATAGTTGTAGTGTTAGGGTTAGGTTTAGGGTTAGTGTTATAGTTGGTGTTTGGCTAGGGTCTCTGTTAGGAATAGGGTTAGTGTAAGGGGTAGATTTATGATTAGGGTTAGGTTTGGGGTTATTGATATAGTTAGGGTTAGGGTTATTGATAGTGTTAGGTTTAGGGTTATGGTTATGGTCAGGGTATTATGGTTGGAGTTAAGGATAGGAATAGGGTTAGGGTTAGCTTTAGTGTTTCAATTATTTTTAGGGTTAAAGTGAGGGTTAACAAAAGGGTTAGGGTTAGGCATACGAATAGGTTCAGGGTTAGGTTGTGGGTTACGGTTAGGTTTAAGGTTAATGTTAGTGTGAGGGTTAGGGTTAAGGTTAGGGTTAGGCCATGGTCAGTGTCAGGGTTATGTTTAGGGTTAGGGTCAGGGTCCTTTTTAAGAATAGGTTTAGGGTTAGGGTTGGGGTTAGGGTTAGGGTAATGGTTAAGGTGAGGGTTAGGGTTTTGTTTTGGTGTTTGTTGTTGTTGTTAGGGTTAGGGTCAGGGTCAGGGTTAGGGTTAGGTTTAAGGTTAGGGTTAGCATTAGGGTTACTGTTAGTGATAGTAATAGGGTTCCAGTTAGGGTTATGGTTAGGGTTATTGTTGAGGTTAGGTTTAGGTTTAGGTTTATGCTTAGGGATAGGGTTAGGTTCCGGTTAGGGTTTAGTTAGGTTTTGGGTTCTGGTTAGGTTTATGGTTAGTGATATGGTTAGCTATAGTGTTATGGTTCAGGATAGGGTTAGAGTTAGGTTTAAGTTTAGGGGTATGGTCGGGATAAGTTCAGGGTTTGGGTTAGAGTTAAGGTTAGGGTTTGGTTAGGGTTAAGGATAGGGATAGGGTTAGGGTTAGGGTTAGGGATAGTTTCAGGGTTATGGTTATTCTTCCACAAATGCACACTCCTTGCAATACTGTTCTGTGTGTCTATCCTATCTTTAGGATCATCTGAAAGGGAAGGAAACTTTTTCTCAGAACCCAAGGGGTAATGGACTACATGGAGAGAAACTTAGAGCAGCTGTAACAATGGTCGTGGGAGCTGAGAGAACAGATTAGCACTTAGGTCCAGTATTCAGCCAAAGCTTGCTGTGCTTTTTTCTACTTAGCTTGGTAACACTGCTCCGTACTCCTCTCTACTTAGCATGGAAACAAGCTCCGAGCAGTTCTATAGTTAGCTCAGAAACACTGCTCTGTTCTCTTCTCCAATTAGCTCGGTAACACTGCTTTGTACTACTCTCTACTAAGCTCAGAAAAACTTATTTGTGATCTTCTATATTTAGATCAGAATAACTGCTCTGTGTTCTTCTCTACTTAGCTCAGAAATATTGCTTTGTGCTATTCTCTACTTAGCTCCTTAACACTGCTCTATGCTACTGTTTACATAGCTAGCTAACACTGCTCTGTGCTGTTCTATAATTAGCTGGGAAACACTGATATGCGTTCTCATGCACTCAGCTCGGAAACGTTGCTCTGTGCTCTTGTGCACTCAACCCTGAAACGTTGCTCTGTGCTCCTGTGCACTCAGCTGGGAAATGCTGTTCTGTGCTCTTCTACACTCAGTTCAGAATGCTGCTCTGTGCTCTCATGCAATGACCACAGAAACACCGCTCTGTGCTCCTCTCTACTTACCTCAAAAACACAGGCTCTGTGCTTCTGAGAGAAACTTATAGCATCAGGCACAATGGTTCTGAGAATGGAGACTAGAGAGAAGCACTCAGGACCAATGTTCAGCCAATCCTTGGAATAGCAGGACACAGGGATGGCAGTACTGTAAAGCTGATTGATGATGGGCAATCATACAGGAATCTCTTAACATAAAAAGATGTCACATCACCTTGAGCAGACAGTCACATTTGTCAGAAGACATGGGTTCACATTATTATGGATACTGGATACACAGAAGCTTAAGTAAATGCTAGGCACTGAGTTGTGTTGCCCCTAGATTCATATTGAAATTCTGGGTCCCAGGAGCTGAGAATGTAGTCCTGGAGACAGAGAGAGGGTTGTCTAGAAAGCACAGAGTTCTGTGTTCAATCCCTGGTACCACATAAAGAAAGTATGGTATGAGCCCAATGCAGGGAAGGTAGGAGCAGGAAGATCAGGAAGTCGAGGTCAATATCATACTTGCCTACAAAGCAAACTTTAAGCTGGGCTAAATGAGGCCCTTCTAAAACACAAACACACTCACATGAATGCATGAATGAATGCATGCACAAATGCAAGCTTCTTGCACACACAACTCTGTGTGTCTCTCCTACTCTTTTACTGTCCTGAGTGTCATCTGCAAGGCAAGGACTCTTTTGTTTTCAGAACACAAGAGTCAGGGGAGAGAATGGAGAGAAACTTAGAGCATTAGGCACAAGGGTCCTGGGGAGATGAGAGCAGTGACAAGCTCTTGGAACCAATACCCAGCCGAATCTTGGAAAAGCAGGACATAGGAATGCCAGTACTTCATAAAGATGACTGATGAAAGGCAATTATAGAAGCATCTCTTAACATAGGAAGATGTCACATCACCTTGGGATGACAGTCACGTTTTTCAGATGACTTGAGTTTACATTATTCTGGATACTTGCTACACAGGAGCTTAAGTAAGGGTTAGGGGCTGAGTTGTGTTGCCACCAGATTCACATTGAAATTCTGGGTCTCAGGAGCTGAGGGTGTATTTCAGGAGATAGATAAAGGGTTCTCTAGGAAGCATGAAGCTCTGTATTCAATCCCTGACACCACATAAAGAAGTATGGTATAATCCCAATGCCAGGGAGGTAGAGGCAGGACAATCAGGAAGTCATGGTCTAGGTCTGCCTACAAAGCAATTTTTAAGGCTGGGCTACATGAGATCCTGTCTAAAACAAACAAACACACACACATACATGTACACACACATGCACATGTTCATGCACAAATGAATTCATGCAGAAATGCATGCTCCTTGCACACACTATTCTGTGTGTCTAGCTTACTGTTCTACCATCTCAAGTTTCATATGAAAGGAAAGGAAACTTTTCTTTTCAGAACCCAAGGGTCAGGGGCGGCTCTGTAGAGAAAATTAGAGCATCAGGAACAATGGTCTGGCACTCATGCCCAGTATTCATCCAGAACTTGGAAAAGTAGGACACTTCATAAAGCTGATTGATGACGGGCAGTCACAGAATCATCTCTTAACATACTATGAGGTCACATCACCTTATCCACACATTCATCAGATGACTTGAGTTTGCATTATTATGGATACTGGCTACACATAACCTTAAGTAAGTGTTAGAGACTGAGCTGTGTTGCCCCCAGATTCATACTGACATTCAGGGTCCCAGTAGCTGAGGTTGTAGTCCCAAAGATAGATAGAGGGTTGTCTAGGAAGCAGGAAGCTCTGTGTTCAATCCCTGGTACCACATAAAGAATGTATGGTATGAGACTAACACAGGGGAAGTATAGGCACAAAGATCAAGAAGTCAAGGTCAATGTCATACCTGCCTACAAAGCAAAATTTTATGGCTGGGCTAAATGAGATCTTGTCTAAAACACACCCACACATGCACATATGCATGCATATGTGAATTAATGAATGCATGCAGAAATTCACACACAATTCTGTGTGGCTATCCTACTGTTCTACTGTCCTGAGTGTCAACTGAAAGGGAAGGAAACTTTTGTTTTCAGAACCCAAGGGTCAGGGTAGTCCCTCCAGAGAAACATAGAACATCAGGCACAATGGTCCAGGGAGTTGAGCAGAGACCAGCCCTTGGGCCCACTACTCAGCAAAAGCCTGGAAAAGCAGGACACTGGGACAGCAGAACTCTGCAAAGCTGCTTGATGAAGGACAGTCATAGAGGCATCTCTTTACATAGGATGAGGTCACATCACCTTGGGAAGACAGTCATATTCATCAGATGACTTGAGTTCACAGTAGTCTGGATACTGGGTACACATGAGCTTACGTAACTATTAGGGACCAAGTTGTGTTGCCCCCAGATTCTTATTGAAATTCTGGGTCCCACGAGCTGAATATGTAGTTCAGGAGATTCATAGAGGGTTGTCTAGGACGCATGAAACTCTGTGATCAATCGCTGGTATCACATGAGGAAGGTATGGTATGAGGCCAACACAGGGAAAGTAGGAGCAGGAAGACCGGGAAGTCAAGGTCAAGTTCACACCTGCCTACAAAGGCTGGGCTAAATGAGACCCTATTTAACACACAGAGGCACAGACACACGCACAGGTGCATGCAGGAAAGAATTCATGCACAAATGCATGCTCGTTGCCCACACAATTCTGTGTCTTTCCTATTGTCCTACTGTCTACTTGCACTGGTGCATGATCGTGGTGGCTTTATTGTGCTTGCCAGTTGTCTCTCTTGGATGGTCCCCTGCGTAGGATGTTTCCTGCATACCCTTCCCCCTCTCTCCTATCATGGTGATGTCATTTTGCTCAATGGCTGCTCTTTATTTTCTCCTTCTTCCCATGGTGGCCTTCATCTTCCTGCTGGCAGTCCCCAGATGAAACAGGGCCACACTCTCCAAGAGCACTAGGGAGACTTATGCCTATGTAGAGCTAAGGGCCAGTCCCTCCTTGAGTTGCCTGTTGTTCCCTGAGGAGCTTCAAATGCCCTCTTTCTTACCCTAGGCTGCCCTTCTCCTTCCAAGGACTCAGCCAGACCCCAGGCTTTCCTGACCCAGGAGGAGGTCTGAGTGACTGGAGAGGGTTACGCCTCTTCTGCTTGTTAAATATTTGGACTTAGGGAGGTGTAATCATACATAGGAACTGACTTGCGCTTGCTCTGGACACTGCAGGTCATAAGGTGTGTGGGAATGATCAGTACCTCCATGGAGACAGGGCACTGCTCTCCTCTGAGGAGTCCCAAGGCCTTAGCTGGAGTTCCCGGGGGATGGGGGGAGGGAAGGAACTAGATGGCAGGAGGCCCACTGCGACATCCAGGGGCTATGCTCCCGTCATAGCTCCCCATTTTGACTCTGCCAGAGCTGTCTCACTGGACAGGCTGGATGTGAGGAAAGCAGGGACAGCCTTTCACGAAAAGGGGTTCCCAGGGTTCCAGACATCCCCCACTACGTAACCCAAAAGATGCCCCGCTCCTCCAGCAGGCTGACAGAACGGTTGGTGAGTGAGGCGGCATCGCTTGCCAGCTTGTAGCCGAAGAGACGCATGGCCGGGCCGCAGGCAGCTTGCACCACCTGGGCCAGCTTGAAGGGCATGCTGAAGCGCCACTTCTCGAACTGCTCCGAGGAGTTCTTCTGCGTGGAGTAGACGTCGCTGCTGTCTCGGGACGCTTGCGTGTTCCTCTGGATCCAGTCCTCCACTTGCGGGGTCAAAGGGATGCCCGCAAAGCCGTACATTTCTCGGGCCTTCTGCAGCGGTCTGCGTGCCACGTCCTCGTAGCGCACCAGCATGTAGCGGCCGCGCAGCCAAGCGGGCTGCCGCAAGCCCAGCTCTGCAGACAGCCGGATGCTCTCGCAGTTGCCGCGCAAGCGCTGCACTTCATCCTCGCCCAGCCCGTCCTGCCCCTCGGTCAGCCACTTCTTCCAGCTCTCATACTTGCCCGCGAAGGCCACCATGCGTGAGGCCAGTACGGCCCGGGGATCGCGCACCAGCTGGATGACTCGTAGATCCAGCCGGGGGTCCTCGGCCAGCGGTTGCAGGAACTCCAGCTGACGGATGCGCACAGCCTTGAGGGCCATGTGGTCCTTGCGGCGGCAGGCCTCGGCTGCCAAGGTCACGTTGAGGGGCCCACAGCGACGATTCCTGCAGTGGTACTTTTCAAAGACCTTCTTGACGAAGGGGGTGCACACTGGGTCCTCGCAGAGTGAGCGGCTGGATCCCCTGCGGAATAGGAACTGAGTCAGGTGGTCCTCTGGCGGAGGGCTGATGAAGGGCTCGAGCACATACAGGTCACACAGCAGCAGCTGCTTGAGGACGTCCCTGTAGACCAGCGCTGAGCCCGCTGCGCTGGCGCCCCCCTGCTGGAAGAACACAGTGCGCTCGATGTGCCACAGCGGCTCGAAGAGGTAGAAGATATTGCCCTGCTGGTTGAAGAACTCGCCCACGAAGGAGGATCCGGTACGGGTGGTGGCCATGAGGAGCACGTGGCGCCGGTTCCCTGCTCTAGCCTGCTGGGATGGCTTCTCTGCTGCACCCCACTGAGCCTGCATTGCTGGCTCCATGCCCAGCTGCAGACTCAGGTTGCGCAGGCGGCTCTGCAGTTGAGAGAAGGTGGAATCCAGCTCGCTCAGGGATAAGAGAGAAGCGTTTTCCGGTAAGAGCAAGGCTGGGTCGGTGCTGTTAACATCTGCCACAGATTGAGGGATCTGCTTCAGCTTGTCCGATACCCTGGGGAGAAGGGAGGGGGGAAGTAAAAGGACAAGGTCTGTGATGGAGTTGGAGGCCATCCCCTGTACTAGACCAAACAGTCTTAGCTGGGTCTCTCCAGAACAGGCTTGGAGGTTACGGTTCAAGTGTGGTTTCTTTGGCACGAACCTGAGGGGGAGGGGGTGACTTAGTGGGGAGGTGAAGCAGTCGCTGGAGGCTACATGTGGACTCGCTTTCACTAAAGAACTCAGGCACTTTACCCTCCGACTGGTTCGAGGCGGGGGGTCAGTAGCAGCTTTCAGGAGACTTACAAGGTGTACAGCAGGCATGGGCTGATTTATTTGCAGTCCTTAACCTACCATCCTTGGCCAAGGCTGTTGTGCAGGGCTTTGCATCTGGTAGGTCAGGACTAAGAGATGATTCTGTATCTAGCAGGTGCACTCCCGACTCAAGGACTATGTAACTTAGCTGAGTCACTCCTTTGGAATTGAATGAGAAACAATCTGGGCAGCTGCCCATACTGGTCCTACCCACCAGAGTGGCCAACCAGAATCCTGTTTCCCATAGGCTCATTTTCACTCATGACATCAAGACTTGCAGAGCAGATATGGCTGCTAAAGGCAGCTACAGGGTTAGAATAGAAAGTAAAGTGCCCATAACAACAAAGACTAAGATTCGGCTATGTAGATGTGGTTTACTTTTTTGCATTTACTCTCAATTACAGGTTAGAGGACTACCTCCACAAAGTGAAGTGTTTTGTCTAAACTCTTGTAGTTGAGAAGGGCCAGTATGGGGACACCAGCCTGGGCCACCCTAGTCTCACTACTGTGCACATGACCTTGGCCTAAGACATAGGGGTTGCCTGGTATAGAAGCGATTTACTTCTTGATCCCTGGCAAGCCCTAGTGTCGCCTCTGTCCTCAGACTCCTCGCCTTTGATAAAGTAGACCTATGGTTGAGTTCCTTACCTGGATATAATTTGATTTTCCTTTTCGATGAAGACAAAAGCTATGACCACAAATGCCAGGAACAAGGCGTATTTGCCCCGAATCTTCAGGCTGTGCACAAAGTCCTGGCATTCCTGAGGCAAAGTGAGTCCTTTCTCCTTGGGAAGAGGAGGCGCCATGGGGCTCCAGGCTGGCTGCAGGCACTCAGCTTAGGGGCATGGCTTGGGACCCAACTTGTCCTCTTCAGGTGGGGGACACCTCATCCTGTAGAGAGACAGGTATTTATGGATCTTTTTGTTCATAGATAGAAAACAGAGACATCTTTTTACCAGCTTTTGTGGAGACCCCAAGATCACTCTGAAAACTGAAGACTTCGGGTGTCTTCACCTATCTTTTGAGACAGGGTCCCTCTACGTAGCCCAGAACCTCTTTATCCACCAGCCCCAACCTCCTAAGATTACAGGTGTATTCTACCACACCTGGTTGGAGTTGCTTTAATAGGTTATTTAAAAGTCACAGGCCAGCACTCTGGAGGTAAGGCAGGAAGATCAGGAGTTCCAGGCCAGCTTCAGTTACACAGTGCCTCTATAACTCCAGTCCCAAGGGATATGATGTCCTCTTTGCCTCTACAGTCACTGAATGCATATGGTGCACAGACATAAAAGCAGGCAGAACACTCACACGATATAAAATAAACCTTAAAAAAGGCCCAGGGTAAACAAAAACATTGTTTCCAGTAACTGTTACTCTAGCCAATAAACTTTGTTTGCTTTCTGTTAAAAATGACCAAACAAACATCAAAATACTAATAAGGAGCCAGGACATGACAGTACAGACCTGTAATCCTAGGAAACTGAACAGGAATATATTTTTTTAAGTTCAATGCTAGTTTGAGCTACAGAGTTCTTCTGGGTCAAAATGAGATCTGATGAATGAATGATGAACAAACAAATGAATGAACAACAAACCCTTTTATCTTCCCCATTTCCCTGAGTTTCTCTGTTGGCCTCACAGATCAAATGCATGAACAGTCAAGGGTCACACAGGGTATTTAGATAAAGAAGAGCTTAAGTCCTCTAGTCCCTGACGCTATAATAGAGCCATGAAGCTGCAGAATCCTGATCAATGAATGATCAGTCACAGCTACAGCATCACTTGTTGGGATGATACTAGTATAAACTGACCTGCCATATAAAAGCACAATGCAGGGCTGACACTGTGGCTCAGCTGATAGAATGTCTACCTAACATGCACAAGGCCCTGGGTTTGATTCCTAGTGCTGCATGAAACTGGAAATGGTGACATACAGCTGTAATCTCTGACATTCAGGAGCTGGAGGCAGGAGGCTAAGAAGTCCACAGTTATCTTCAGCTACAAAAAACACAATATGCTCTCCTGGCCTAGCTTATTGTTCTTGTGTTTCTAGAGTTTCCGGGTTGTACAAAGAGGCCAAGGGGGATTGGAGATTGTGGATCAGTGGTAGAACACTTGCCTGGCATCTGCGGTATGGTCAGCAGTTCGTTGTAGAGAACACAAGAGAAGAGGTGTGTGGCCCAGCTATCTTTCCCCTCCTGAGTAACACCTTTAGCAAAATTGCGAGTTGATAGAATCTGATGGCCATAACCCAGCTACAAGCAAGAGACTGCAAGTTCAAAACTTGCCAGGGCAGCTTAGCAAGACTGTGTCTCAGACAGAAACAGTAAAAAGAGCACAAGGAGTGAATCCAGGTGGCAAAGTGAGTGCCTAGCATGCTGGAGCCCCTAAGCATGAGTCTCCTAAGCAGAAAGTCAGCTTAGGAGTTGGGCTACTCTGATGACAAGCCTCTAACCCTTCTCTCCACTACCCCTTCCAGTGGCTTTTTATATTTTGAAGTTGTTGATTCAACTTCCTCACCCTCACAAAAATGTAGGGTTCCTAGGAGCCTTTTAGCAATGCCAGGAAGAAGGAAGGCTGAGTAGTGGCCTCAAATGAACAGACCAGCAGCTTCTTCACCCATCCCCAGTTAGGTTGTCTTCTCTATAGCATTGAAATCCCAAAGGCCAGGTGGCTAGCCAAGAGAGGAAGAGCTGTAGATTCTGGGGATGGGTGAGAGAATCCCAAAGCCAGGAGTTCACAGGACCAACAGGAGAGGAGAGGGTCCCCAGACTGAGACTTACTCAGCAAAAGCTCAGGCAGGGCTTGCCCTGCTTCCCTTGATGGCCCTCTCAGAAATCCCTGCTCCATGGATTTCACTTCCCCAGTTTCCCTGGCAAGGTGCCACTAGAGGCCAACTCTCTAGCACGTCTTGGCTAGTAGTGAAAGATGCTAGGATGCCAATCCCAGCCTTGCTCTGCCTGGACACAGCTGATCATGGGCCAGCACCATCTACCCAGGAAGGCCAGATCTCCTGTCCAAACACCAGGGGCAGTAAGAGAAGATGGAGTGCTGAGCTCCTCTTAGGAGCTTCCATGTGGCAGGGCCACTCTGTGCCAGGCCCTAGCAATGTTGGGAGCCACATGAAGGAGCAACACCCAGCCTTGCCCTCGAGTATCAGCTGGGACACATTTCTCACCCGACCATCGGGTACACAGTGCTCAAAAGCATTCCTCCCCCTGGCCTTTGAATCTCAGCCCTCTCCTTCTGAAAGGTCCTTTTTTCCTTAAAGAACACCTGGGAGGGTCCTCAGTCATCTTCATTGAGAGTAGCAGCTCTTGCTGCATTTCATCCTGGAGGATGGGCTGACTGCTCCTTCTATATAACAGCCCCTCCCGGCATTCTCTGATGAAGCTTCCTCTAGGACCCCCTGGGGGTGCTTTCTTCCATGACTCTCTTCTCCCTCCTTACGATATGGTAGCCCCCCATTTCATGCATCTCACCCTCCTGTTCTAGACCATCAGCCCACTATGTCATGCCTTTCATTCCCTGTCCACATTCCTCTCCCAAACTCTTTCCGCCTCCAACACATGGTGGCGCCCATGAGCACCCGAGCCCAGTGGACGCAGAGGATACGTAGGAAACTTTTCAGGCATCCAGCCCAGGACTTTGAGGTGACCCTAGCTGCTGAAAAAAAATGTTCCAAGCACAACTCAGAGCCGAACAACTCATAAGCCCTCCAAAGCCCTGCGGACGGGAGCCACATCGTCTCAGCTTCTGTAGGCTATAGGCCCCAGCCTTTCCCACTACTCTCCACCTGGGGGAGCATCCTTTCTGGTCTTTTTTTTTTTTTAAGAATTATTATCTTTTTAAATTTTTATTAATTACGTTTGATTCACTTTGTATCGCCCCTGTAGCTACCTCCCAATTCCACCTTCCCTCACCCTTCTCCACGCATGCCCCTGCCCAAGTCCACTGATAGGGGAGGTCCTCCGCTCCCTCCTTCTGATCCTAGTCTATCAGGTCTCATCAGGAGTGGCTGCATTGTCTTCCTCTGTGGCCTGGTAAGGCTGCTCCTCCTCAGAGGGAGGTGATCAAAGAGCAGGCCACTCAGTTCATGTCAGAGACAGCCCCTGTCCCCATTACTATGGAACCCACTTGGCCACTGTACTGCCATGGGCTATATCTGTGCAGGGGTCTTAGGTTATCTCCATGAGTGGTCCTTGGTTGGAATATCAGTCTCAGAAAAGACCCCTGTGCCTAGATTTTTTGGTTCTGTTGCTCTCCTTGTGGAGCTCCTGTCCTCTCCAGATCTTACTATTTCCCCCTTCTTTCATAAGATTCCCTGCACTCTGCCCAAAGGTTGACCATAAGTCTCAGCATCTGCTTTGATACCCTGCAGGATAGAGCCTTTCAGAGGCCCTCTGTGGCAGGCTCCTGTCCTGTTCCCTGTTTTCTCCTTCTTCTGATGTCCATCCTCTTTGCTTTTCTGAATGGGGATTGAACATTTTACCAGAGTCCTCCTTCTTGATTAGTTTCTTTAGGTGTTTTAGTAGGTTTATCCTATATTATATGTCTAATATCCACTTATGAGTGAGTATATACCCTGTGTGTCTTTCTGCTTCTGAGATACCTCACTCAGGATGATCTTTTCCAGTTCTGACCATTTACCTGCAAATTTCATGTTCTACTTAATGTGTGCTCCAAGACCATTCTTCCTCCAACATGACCCAGAGAGGCCAAAGATCCCTATTCCATTTCTGCTGACTTAGCCCTTCTCTAAGCCACCTTCATCACGTTCCTGGTTTTCGTATGCATTATTTCTTTCCTGCAAGCATTCTCTTCTACTGGGATGTCTATAATGCCTTTGTTCCAGACTGGTTAGAGAGACAGGAAAACCAAGGAGATGTGGGAAATAGAAGAAGTCTCTCCCCCATAGGATCTAGTTTAGGCTTGTCACACAACTGACAAAATCAGCAAAGACTGAGACAGAGGAAAGACTCATTTTTCTAAGATATTTCAAAGGTGTTATAAACAATATATGAACCATGCTTACAGCTGTAGACCTTTGTAACCTTATCCACACTTCTGCCCACCACAGATCCGAGCAAAGTGCCTCTTAACACCTTATTATTTCATTTCGTTAAACAAATGGAAATTAAAAAAAAAAATCCTCTGGGCATGGTTGTACATGCCTTTAGACCCAGCACTCAGGACGCAGAAGCAGATGGATGAGTTGGAGGACAGCCTGGTCTACAGAGCAGTTCCAGGATAACCAGGGCTGCACAGAGAAACCCTGACTTGAGAAAGAAAGAGAGAGGGGAGGGAGGGAGGGAGGGAGAAAGGGAGGGAGGGAGGGAGGAAGGGAGAGAGGGAGGAAGGGAGGGAGGGAGGGAGGAAAGAAAAGAAGAAAAAAAAGAGTAATATTACAACCTTTAGATGCAATATCAGGAAGCCATGAAGTTACACTAGTTATTGATAAGACACTAAACCTAGTCCCTCTGACTGTCCATGCTTAGATTTAATGTGTGTATTCACATGTTTTCTCTCACCTCTACATAATAAGCATAGTTCTGTTCCACACAGATTTGTCCTGAAATTATTTTTCCGAGATGTAGTCAACATCCCAGTTTCACCCCAGTAGATGCCATTAAGGGGGGGGGGGCATTGAATGAAGGGAGAGATGGAGGAAGGCTGAAAAGATGGATGGATGGATGTCCTTCCCAGAATACTTAGTCCAGTGCAAGATGCTTAGGCATTTAGGTTGATAGGCAGGACCAGGAGAAAGAAGACGCTTAATAGTTCCATGCATGAGTGAGCCACGAGGGAAAGACACCGTGCGCAGCTGCATTGGCATGTGCTAGAACGTGGGGCAGGTGGACCGAGGGCAAAACACCAAACTTAGGTGTTGA